GCTGGTCGCTGTTCCCAACAAAGAATGAATCCGAAAACCTCCAGGGCGAGCAGCGAGCTGCTCGCTCCAGGAAGTATATAGTCCGGAATGCCGTTCTTCCAGCTTGTCCCTGGGATAGCATTGCAGGTAGGCCACACCCATGGGGAAACTCCCCTTAGGCAGACCGGCCGCTTAGAACTCAGTCATGTGATCCATCATGGGAACCACCACTCACAACTGGAGTCCAGCCAAGTTGACACATCTTCAACTATCACAGAGTATTCCTTACTTCTTTATCTTTTGGAAGAGTTTAATGAACAGTGTGGTATCAGTTGGTGGAATTACCTAGTGAACCCAACTGATCAGGACTTTTTTGGGGGTGGGGGGCGAGGAGGGGTTTTTGATCACTGACCCTAGCTCTTCAGCTTTATGGGACTGTTGAGACTTTCTATTTCCCTTTGAGTAATTTTGGATAGGTTGTGTGGTTCTAAGAATTTGTCTGCTTTATCTAGGTTTTCCAGTGTGTTGCCATAAATAGTTCATGATACTCTGTCATAATTCTCTTTATTTCTGTTGGGTCAGTTGTAATGTCCCCTCTTTCATTTCTTATTTTGATTATTTGCATCTTTTTTTTTTTTTTCTGTTTGTCATTCTAGCTAAACGTTTGTCGGTTTTATTGATCTTTTCAAAGAACCACTTCTGGTTTTATTGATTTTCTCTGTTGTTTTTCTTGTTTTCAATTTTATTTATTTCTGCTCTAATCTTTGTTATTTTCTTTCTTCTGCCTTTTACATCTTTAAGGAGCTCTGGTGGCTCAGTAGGAGCCCTGGTGGCACAATACCTAAGGCATTTGACTGCTAACCAGAAGGCTGGTGGTTCAATCCTACCAGCAACTCCTTGGAAGGAAGACTGGGCAGTCTACTTCCATACAGATACTGCCTTGGAAACCCAAGGAGGGTTTCTATGAGTTGGGATCAACTCAACAGCAGTGGGTCAGTGGGTTGGGTGGCTCAGTGCCTAAGGCATTTGACTGCTAACCAGTCAGCCCACCAGCTGCTCTGCTTTTGTAAATATTTACTGCCTTGGAAACCTTATGAGGATCACTATGAGTTGGAATCAACTCGATAGCAGTGGGTTTGGTTTTCGTTTTCATATTTCATGTAATGTAATTTTATCCTTTTTTTTTTAAATATATATTTTTATATTTTTAAATATATTTGTTATTCAAAAATATGAAGGACAAAACATTTAAAATTATCAAGCATGAATACCTTATTGCTAGCCATACTTCTCCATGCATTTCCCTTTATTGGAGATCTGTGTTTTCATTTATAAGTCTGAATTACTTTCTGGTGTCTTTTTCTTTCCATCTACAGAATTCCCTTAGGAGCTCTGGTAGCATAGTGCGTAAAGCACTTGACTGCTAACCAGAAGGCTGGTGGTTCAAACCCATCAGCCACTCCTCAGAAGGAAGGTTGGGCAATCTACTGTAGTGATACCGCCTCGGAAACCCAAGGAGGGTTTGCTGAGTCGGTGCCGACTCAATGGCACATAAGAACAACAACAAAACTCCCTTAATGTTTTTTGTCAGGCTGATCTGGGATACTAGTTCTCAACTTCAGTTTGTCTGGGAATGTTTTAATTTCACCCTCATTCTTGGAACCACCAGCTCTGGTGGCGTAGTGCCTAAGGCAATTTGACTACTAACCAGAAGGCTGGCGGTTCAAACCCACCAGGCATTCCTCAGAAGGAAGATTGGGCAATCTACTTCCGTAGAGATACTGCTTCTGAAACCCAAGAAAGGGTCTCTATGAGTCAGGACCATCTCAATGGCACTGAGTTTTATGAGTTTCACTCTTGAAGAATAGTCTTGCTGGGTACAGTATTCTTGGTTGACATTTTTTCTTTTTCTCTTTCAGCACTGTAAATACAGTATTGTCTTCTGGCCTCCAGTGTTTCTGAGGAGAAATAGACATTTAATCTCATTGGGGATCCTTTGTATGGGACAGTTTGCTTCTCTCTCACTTTCAGGATTCTCTCTTTATTTTTAATTTTTAGCGCCTAACTATGATGTGCCTTTGTGTAGATCTCTTTGGGTTTATCCTGCTTGGGGTTCTATGAGCTTCTTTGATTTGTAGATTCATGTTCTTCGTTAGAGTAGGAAAATTTTCTGTTGTTATTTCTTTAAATATATAAATTTAATTCTTTCTGACCCTTTCTCTTGCGTCCTTGTGGAATTCCCATGATGTGTATAGTAGGTCTCTTGTCCCATAATTCCATTAAACTGTATTCAGCCTTCTTGAGTCTCTGTTCTTGTTCCTCTTCAGGGTCTGTAATTTTAGCTATCATATCCTCTACTTTGCTGATTCCTTTTTTTTTCATGATTAAACCTGTTGGTAAGTCCTTTTATTATGTTTCTAATTTCAGTTATTTTCCTTTTTAGTTGTAATATCTCTTCTTTAGCTGCTTGTTTTGTTCTTGCATTGTTTCCTTATTTATTTTAGCTCTTTGTCTATGTTTACTCCTAGTTCTTTAGTTATATTT